GGATTTAAAAATGGCGGCGCCCGGCTTATGCAAATGAAGCCCGGGAAATTCAAATCCCGGGCTTCATTTGCAAGTGCGGTATGCCTACATTACCCCGCTAGTTCGAACTAGCGGGGTAGTGTAGACATACCCCCATTGAGTTTCATGGGAGCACAATTAGGCCAACCCCAAGCACTTCTGAAATGACCCCCTCTAAATGACTTTCCCCAGGTCAGAGGAAATCTACAGCACAAGCTTCCAATTGAATCATGACTTCTTGCATGCCAATTTGACACCTAGAGAAGATTGGTCCTATCATTTTTCTGTGAGTTCCCCATAACTTTTGTGTGAGTGTGTGTTTCTTCTCTTTTCCAGACCCAAAAAGTGAACTAAAAGCTTCATATGCAAGAATGTGGTTTCAAGTTGCGGTACACCTGCGCTGAAAAGGGCGGTTTGTAGTCGAAGTTGATGCTGCTGAAGTTTGTTGTTCAACCCTGTTGAAGTCTCCTGTTTTTGCTGACGCTTGTCTGAATATCCCACCATTACAATGAGCTTTTTTTCCTATCTGGACCCCAGGAGGATCCAGTGGGGTGCCACCTGGTACGCCATGCACTCCAGGATCCTACGCACCAAACCTGTGGAGTCAATGCTAGAAGGGACAGGCAGCACCACCTCTCATGGGACCAAGCTGGCCCAGGTGCTCACTACAATGGATCTGGTTTCACTCGGAGTTGGAAGCTGTGTTGGCACTGGCATGTATGTAGTGTCTGGGCTGGTTGCTAAGGAGATGGCTGGGCCTGGGGTCATTGTTTCCTTCATTATTGCAGCAGTTGCCTCTATTTTGTCAGGTGAGTCATACAGATCAATTGTAAGAGATAAAAATAAATGATAGGTTTTACTTAGGATGTTATCCTGCAGCCCTTACTCCTGAATGCATCAAGGATGCAATTGCATCAAGAGACAAAGACGCAGATTGTCAGAATTAATGCAGACCAAAAAAACAACAAAACAAACAAACTAAAAAAGTGCCATGCACTTTTGTCTGTGCAGTTACTATGATTCAAGAACAAGTACCGTCAAACCAACTTGATAGCTTTCATAAAATAACAAGCCTTGTGAATGGGGGAAGCAGTAGATGTGCTATATCATGACTTTAGTAAGGCTTTGAATACTGCCTTGCATGACCCTCTCAAACAAACTAGGAGTATACCACTTGGATGGAACTACTGTAAGGTGGGTGCAGAACTGGGTGGAAAACCATTCCCAGAGAGTAGTTATCAGCGGTTCACAGTCATGCTGGAAGAGCATAATGAGTAGGGCCCTGCAGGGATCAGTTCTGGGTCTGGTTCTGTTCAATATTTTCAACAATAATTTACATAATGGCATAAAGAGTACACTTATAAAGTTTGTGGGTTATACCAAGCTTGGAGAGATAGCAAATTGTTTGGGGGCTGGGATTAAAATTCAAAATAATCTGGACAAATTGGAGAAAGAGTCTGAAGTAAATAGGATAAAATTCAGTAAGGACAAATGCAAAGTACTCCACTTAGAAAGGAATAATCAATTACACGCAAAATGAGAAATGACTACCTAGGAAGGAGTACAGCAGAAAGGAATCTGGAGTTCATAGTGGACCAAAAAAAAAAAGCAGCAAACATAATTCTGGAGTGTATAAACAGGAGTGTTATAAATAAGACACCAGATGTATTCTTCCACTCTGATCCAGATTGATTAGGTCTCATCTGGAGTATTGGCCCTGTTCTGGATGGTACATTTTAGGAAAGATGAGGACAAATTGGAGAAAGTCCAAAGAAGAACAACAAAATAATTAAAAGTCCAGAAAACACGATCAATGAGGGAAGACTGAAAAAACTGGGTTTGTTTAGTCTGTAATGTCTGAGGATAGGACAAGCAGCAATCGGCTTAAATTGTAGCAAGGGTGGTTTAAATTGCACATTAGAAAAAACTTCCTGTCAGGGTAGTTAGGCACTGGAAAAAGTTGCCTTAGGGAGGTTGTGGAATCTCCATCATTGGAGATTTTAAAGAACAGATTAGACAAGCACCTGTCGTGAATGGTCTAGCTAATACTTAGCTCTGCCATGAGTGCAGGGGACTGGACTAGATGACCCCTCAAGGCCCCTTCCAGTCCTATGGTTTTATGATTCTGGGCCCATCTTGGCGACTGAACAATCCTATGGTTGTTTGGTGCATGTCTGCATGTCCATTTACCTCAGATATGCATGCAAATTAGGTAAGAAGCTCTGAAAATGACCCAAAATCTCCATTGTCTCACCCTGTATGTGGCAAGATCAATGAGAAAATAACAAAGACTTGCCATTGTGGTTAGACTTTTTCTGTCATAAACAGATTTTCCAACTGAAGGTATTTGGAACAGACTCAAAAGCTAATGGAATTGTTAGGAGGAGATAAAGCCTCCCCTCTAATCTCTAGGTTTCTGGGGTGTATCCTGAATAAAATGATAGTGAGCAAACTTAAGGTACGTCTACACTACAGAGAAGATCCAAGCTGCCGCTTTCAATCTTCTAGGGTTCGAATTAGCGGGTCTCGTGAAGACATGCTAATTCAAACTGAGAGAGGCCCTCCGGTTGATGCTGGTAGTCCTGCTTCCATGAGGAGTAAGGCAAGTCGAAGGGAGAGTGTTCTCCCTTCAACTTCCTGCTGTGTGGATGGCGCCAAAAGTCGAGTTAAGGTACTTGGATTTCAGTTACACAATTAACATAGCTGAAATTTCTTATCTTAATTCGACCTTATCCCATAGTGTAGACATACCCATAGTTCTCTTTTGGCACATTGCTGGTTGCCAGTATAAAGTAAATTTGAAGTCCTCAGCTACTCCATTTAAATGGCCAGCTGGAATTTTACATGTCACAATTCATAAACCAGGCAGAGATTAATGACAAAGCAGTAACGTAAGCCCGTCATAAGTCATTTGAACACTTCTAAAAAGGGCTGGATATCTTCAAGGAGAAAGAGAAGTGAATGAATCCAGACAAGTATATGAATTAATCTGTGCTTTCCATGTGATCTCATTATTTTTGGCATTTGTCCTTTACAGTTCAGTGGCAGTGAACAGACCAGATGTTCTAACATGAGAAGTCTCTGCACTATGTAGCAGAATATGATATTGATGGGTTTGCTTTTATATGGGTGTTCAGTTTTTTAAAAAAAGGCAAGAAATGGCAAAGGCTTTACTGCTACTGTCATTAAAGTGATCTTACTCAGCTTTTAAAACTAAAGCCTTAGAAAATATAATGGTAGCTTTATTCTCTTCTGCTGCAGCTCTACTTTCAGCTAAATTTTGCTCCTCCTTATAAGACTGCAGCTCCGACTGAAGGCCACAGATGTTACAGCAAGAACTTCACCCTATGTTGTAAGGCAGTGGTTCCCAACCCATGGTCTGCAGACATCTGGTGGTCCATGACAGTACTGTAGTGAGACAGTGGTTCCCAAATGGTCTGCGGACATCTGGTGGTCCATGACAGTACTGTAGTGTAGGGGGTTCATGGAAAGCTTAAGAGTAAGGATTGGGCCCACTACGGGACTGGGACTTTCTACCAGGCGATTCTCACCTGGAGCTCACTGTTTGCGACCATCCATTGTCCTGCCACCAGCTGTGCTGGCATTTATGCTCCAGCACTCTGCCCCCTCCCAGTCCCACGGTGGTCCCATCCTTATCTTTCTTTTCCTTTTTTTTCTGTCCCAAAGCTCCATGCCGGCCAAGGGCGGAGCACCAGGACAGGAGCTGCCTTTGGCCATGAGAGCCCCCCTCAGTGTCTTCTCTGTGGATGGGCACAGAAGAGGGCGGGCAGGAGCTGAGGAAGCAGCGCAGGCCAAGGGATGTCCCCTTGACTCAGAATGGGGAAAGGCAGAGACTGGGAGCAGACAGGCTCCAAGCCTGCAGATGCTCCACGTAGATAAAAAGTCCCAGCATGCCAGTGGTTTGCCCTGCTCGGCTGGGAAGTGCTGAGGACTCTGCTGGGACATATGTTTGCTTGCAATGTCTGCATTTGTTTGCATGCAGCACAGAGCCTTTCAGCTCCCGTTTGGCTGTGAACAGCGAACAGCAGCCAATGGGAGCTGAGATGCTCCATGCCCTGCATCCTGCATGTCCCTCATCCCATGCTGAAGCTGACAAGCTGCGACTGCCTCTGGAGTCGGTATACATGGGTCAGTCACTTTTTACCATTTTTTCTCTTTTTTGAAACAATCTTATTACAGGCAGTCCCTGAGTTACGCGGATCCGACTTATGTCAGATCCGCAGTTACGAACGGGGATTTTCTCACCCCGGAGGACTGGAGCGGCAGGACACCTGGCGGGGCGAGAAAAGCTGCTCCCCGTCTCCCTGGTCTGCTGGCTCCCCCAGCAGACCAGGGAGACGGGGAGCAAAGCGGCGGAGGACCCGGGGCCGGACCCGCGGCCGCTTCCAGATCAGGGAGACGCTGCAGTGCTGCAGACCAGGGAGACGCTGAGCAAAGCCGCGCAGGACCCGGCCCAACCCGCGGCGCTTCCAGCTGATCTGGAAGCGGCTGCGGGGCCCGCCCCGGGGCCCCCGCGCCGT